GGGGGGGGGGGGGGCGAGGGCTCTACCGAAACAAAAATGTTGGAGGAGGCTGATTAAGTAAGGTAAAAAGAAACAAACTGAAGACGGCATACAAGCCAGAAGGCCAAGGGCAACAATCAGAAGAGCGGGAGGAACGGTTATTCAAACTGCAGTCATGGCCGATTAATTGGATATTCACCGGACAGGATTTTTCAAAACCGGTTATCAAAAGTCTGGTATGAACGCTAAGGGTTTTAGCCTGGTTTTTGAAAAACCGGTTGAAACCGCTAAATATAAGTCTGGTATGAATGTGGGAACATCACATATACACAGCCAGTATCACATATCACTGCATCTAAGTAAGAAACAAAACATTAAATCAGAGCCTTTTCTTGTCTCCTGTCTTCATAGTTATCTGCCATTCACCTTCCGGCATGGCAACAGACAGCCCATGCATGTTGACCACTGTCAGAAGGCAACAAAATTTTTTGTTTTTTTCTCCAAAATCAGGCGAAAATTAATGCGCGCGCTGATGTCATCCATAAAATTTACTTGCTGTGGCCTGATTAAGAAATCTGATAGCAAAATCATCTGCTGCACTCTACGTCGACGTCCGCGCGACAATTGATGCAGAGTTTTAAAGCATTGCACATGAACAATAGCGTTGGAACAGTACCTGTCAACCGACAGCCTTCCTTATAATGAGTTCTATTGTGGTGGTTAGTATTGGATGTGTTAGGAATGTAGGGCGCCTAGCTCAAATAAACGTTATAGTTTTGCCTATGAAGAGATAGCTCTAGCAACCGACAGCCTTCATAATGAGTTCTATTGTGGTGGTTAGTATTGGATGTGTTAGGAATGTAGGGCGCCTAGCTCAAATAAACGTTATAGTTTTGCCTATGAAGAGATAGCTCTCATGCCTCGCTCTCTCTGTAAAAGGGTCTGAGATCCTCAGTTTATTTGAAAAATAACTTGAGCAGAAAAAAATCTTTGTTGATTGCATCTGCCAAGTGAGTCCTTCAAAGTTTATTGACATCATCAGCCGAGCTGGCAGGCGTGAC